AAATACACCAGACGAATAAATACGGGATGTGTCTATGCAGGTGCAAGTCTTCTGAAATGCAAATGTTGATATACAAGACTTCACAATACACGTAACTTCATACGTTCATAGGTCTCACTAGGAAGACTTAAAAATTTTGTAAGGTATTACACATAAAATGATAGAGAATTCTAGTAACTGTTGTATCCAGATGAAGACGAAATCAGCAGACATGAATCTATTTTGAAAATGTTAATTAAGTGATCTCTGAACCTCAGGATGTGTTATTAAAAGTACAAAACCTCTACTAATCAAAGAACACACAGCTACAACTAAACATTTCGTTACTGACTCATAAGTTACAAATAGCGAGAAATTTCTGACTAAACTAAGTTGAAAAATCAAACTGGTCATGATAATAAAAACCAGAGATCAAACGATCAAGAATTTATTGAATGCCACAAGAAAGAAATTCAATTCACAATGAAAATAAAAGACGAATAAGAATCTTACAAAATGCTTCTACAATGAAAACAAATAAGATTTTATCCAATCTCAGTGTAAATAATAACAATGAAACCAGTGATGACGTCACTGTTTTAAAATCATGAAAATGAAGAATTAACGCAAATACAATTGTCAACTCTCCTCTGACAAAGAAATCTGTACCTTAATATTTACCAAACTGCATTAGCTTATTAATCTAGTCTGCTAGTGTATTTATCTCTCAATGTTCATGAAGAAAATAAAACAGAATCAAGGTACTCTGAGAAAGATTCTTTCCCTTGAGACATTAATACACAAAACCCAAGATGGGCATCACTGACTGCATCTTTGTACAGTAGGAATTTGAATCTATGGTGAAAGTACCACTGAAACACTATGCTGTTGTATCGGTAGGTGGCGACAAGGTCTCAGTAGCAATCTTGCTACAGATGGCTTCCAATACAACTTTACAGCAGTCAGAAGTGGTACTTAGTATTGAGTATATTAGTTTGGTGACCATATTGCTAATCTGATCAATTCAGTTATTGAACACTTCAAGCTAGACGGACAACAGAACATTTGTTCCTCTGAAGACGATGAGTCAGTAAGTAATTCTATTTATAAATGACTTATTTGTTTTGATAACTTCCCCCCTAATCCAGATATTAATTATATCATTGTGCGTCGGTGGCACAGTGGTTAGGACTCTCGCCGACCATGCACATGGTCCGGGGTTCGATCCCCTGCCGGCGCACACCCGATATCAATGGTCGGCCTGCAAAATTGGGCTACCGATATCACATGCTGAAAATTCCATACTTGTACCAAAAATACGGTGTGGAATCAAGCTATAATAAATAAATAAATAAAATAAATAAATAAAATTCTTGTTCAAAATAGCTGAAATATGAAAGTAAGTTTTCGTTTAAATTAGTCCGCGCTTTTTAAATTCTTTTTATTTCCGAAATTGAATTCGCTAACGTGATTACACACAATCATTTTTTGAATTATATATTATCAACAAGGTTTTGAAGCGTAAATTTTTACTGTTTATTTTTACAATTTGCCTAAACCCCCTGCTGGTTTCCTATCTAGTAGTAAGTGTGAAGAAAAGTGAAGGTTAGATATGAGATTAGTGACGCCTCAGCGTAAAACAACAACAACAACAGGTTTTCCAATGGTTCTCTAACTAATGTCAGCTCATGATGAAAATCCTAAAACCAACCAAATCCCTACGAACCAACATTTGAACAACAACAACACTTTTACTGAAACTTCAAAGAAGCTTGAAGCCCTCAATTTCGCTTGTAACGCTAGAAATGATAAAAAATCTCTAACTTGCCAACAACAAAAAATGTAATTTCAAAATTACCATTCACGTATTTAAAAATAACAACAGATTGCGTGAAGAAATATATTCCTTTCCAATTAGTTCCTCATCATCGGCTCTACACTAATATGTAGTTGTTTTATATCAAAATGTTTTACCAGTCAAGTAGTTATTTTGGTAAATCAGTTCTAGGTATAGGGGGGTGAAAGTAAAAAATTGAGGATGCCGACTGTTCCTGAAAAATTAGTCTTCCTAAGGTTACAATTCACGGGTGATGTCAATAGCGAGATCTTATTACGACGTCTGAGAACGCCCTCCAAAAGGAGTTTCAATGCAACTGAGTTAGGCTGTATGTTCACTAGCCAACCAATACTCAGTTTAAGGAATGTAGACAAAGTGCCTTGCTCCTGATGAGCTAGTTACATCAGCCGTTCGACTAGACAAGTCCTTCAGAGAATTACTGAACACCAACCATCTTGGTTAGTCATAGGTTCGAATAAAGCTAAACTCAGTTCTTCTTGATACTGAACATCAAACAGACTCTAATAAAGCTTTTAAAATTATTTATCGTATTTCACCCAATCTTTCTCACTCTCTACGAGTACTAGTTTTATGCACAACAGTGGCAATCGGAATTCATCTGAACAAGACAAATCTGTGAGTGTTCAAAAGAAATTTTTGTACAGCCCCTTTCTTTGCCATGGCCAACTGTCTAATGTGTATTAAGTTCAACAAACGATTTTCCACTCCCCTTGTAACTTTGTTATTTTATTATGTCTACAGTTCTAGCTAATTCTGTTAATTTGTTTGTATTTTACGTGATTTTACGGAGTCATCCTGTTCTTCCTAGTCACTATTATTTTGAAAATTTCTTGATTATGTAATAACTCGTTGCTGACTCCTACTAATTAACTTACGCGTCAAGGAAACAAACACTTACAAAAGTTACAGGATTTTCATCATGAGCTGACATTAGTTAGAGAACCATTGGAAAACCTGGGAGTACTGGACAGCTGTTTCGTCCTGGTTTGGGACTCTTCATCAGTACGCACCCACTTACAATAGTGCCATTACCAGACATCTCCTTGATACGGGTCATGAGGTGGAAATCACAAATTCTTCTAAAATTATCAACAGACAAAAAACTCAAGTTTTCCGAAGCAATCTCCATCAAACGCCTAAAACCCGATTTATGTGTTCAGAAAGAAGCAGTTTCCTTGCCCATTCTGGTAAGTGTATGTCTTCACACACTCTCTCTCTTTCATTTGGTTACGCGATCTCTGGCCTTAATAAAAACCCCTCTTGATATGGTGTAATTTTGCTTTTCTGTGATTTCAGTTGAACTCAGTACACTGTCACCCAATTTATTAGTTACTCACCATCTTACGCACCTCTCGTCTTTATTACGTAACTCCTTTATGATTGTATGCATGCATTTACTTTGTTTAAACTTGAACTCCCTGTGCAAAAGCTATATAAGCGTAATTTTCTGAGCACTGTTCACAAAGTCCAGAACCTCCTGTCAACTGACATCATGTAAAATTTGCATGTTAAAACTTCTCTTTACATGAACTTAATAATAATTAAATAGGCTGTAAGCAGATGATGAG